CACGCCAGTCTGCAGGGGTGAGGGAGGGAGATCTCAGCGAGAAGCGTGGGAGGCAGCTCTATGTGGGAGCCAGAGCCAGAGCCAGAGCCAGAGCCAGGTTGTGCGCTGGGTTGAGAAGCTTGGTCTTGACTTGGTAAGGAGAGGAGGTGCCAATGAAGGCTTCTAAGCTGAGGAATAGATTCTTAGGATTGAAGTGTGTGGCTGAGTCTGGGGTGGGGGGATTAAAATTGGGAGCATAGAAGTCACGTAATTTACTTGACAGTAAGTCATAGTTTAGTGGAAAGGAAATGTCCTCTCTACAGTTCCCTGACCCCTAAGGTATAAAAGCTGTGTCCCAGTCCTCAGCGTATCAGTAACAAAGCTAGCACATTCCATTTATTCACAGCTATGACCCCGTTTCTACAACACTGTACACTGCACAGTGACATACAGTAAATATTGCTGACTAATGAGTCACTGTTAGCACATTCCACTTGTTCACAGCTATGACCCCGTTTCTACAACACTGTTCACTGCACAGTGACATACAGTAAATATCGCTGACTAATGAGTCACTGTTAGCACATTCCACTTGTTCACAGCTATGACCCCGTTTCTACAACACTGTACACTGCACAGTGACATACAGTAAATATCGCCGACTAATGAGTCACTGTTGGTTTTGAACAGGCTGTCCTTCACAGTCTCTTAGAACGACACGGTACCGCATTTAGAAAGTTATTTTTCATGATCTCTCTCAAAGTTGATATGAATGATTTTCACTTAAAAGAAATTCCTTTTAAGTTTGTTTACATTGACATTATTTTGTAAATACTAAAAACATATTGTATCAACACTAATGATGGAGGAGGTCCGGAGTTCCCAGTGCTGATACTGAAAGCGTATATGCTTCTGTCAACCCAGCCCTCCAAATGGTTTATGTGTCACGTGGAGTAGTTAGAACCGAGGTAAATGGAGTCAGTTTTGTATCTGGTCCTCACATCTCTTCTTCCGTGTGGATGGACTGACACTTCACGTGTTGAGTCAGTAAACAAATAGCTAGTGGGTTTTCTTCCCCGAACCTCCTAACTCGGCATGTACTGTAAAGTTCACCCAGATGATAATGTGTGCCGAGAGGCAGGGGAACCCAGACCAGGTAACTTTGACAAATGGAGAGCCTTTCTGCCAATCCCCACGCCTTGCCAGTCTGCCTGGACTGTAATTAATTCGAGGCAGAGGTGCAGTCCACATTGCAGCTGCACGATTCCTTTGCTTTCAGGGATCAGGAGTGGCTCATTTACTCACTGAATTGAGGAGAAATAGCAAATTACAGATGTTGCTTTTTTAAAAAAATATATTTTATTGATTTTTTACAGAGAGGAAGGGAGAGGGATAGAGAGTTAGAAACATCGATGAGAGAGAAACATCGAACAGCTGTCTCCTGCACATTCCCCACTGGGTATGTGCCCACAACCAAGGTACATGTGCTTGACCAGAATCGAACCTGGGACCCTTGAGTCCACAGGCCAACGCTCTATCCACGGGGCCAAACCAGTCAGGGCACAGATGTTGCTTTTTGTAGGAACTACCAAGGAACAGTTATCCTGATAATTTCTTAACATGGTGAACTTCAAAGAACTTCCTCTTCTCATTGTCTTCTTAAAAGGAGCAGACATTCTCATGATGGCCGAACACAAAAGGAATGGACTTTTTCCAATAAACAGGCAGACCACACTTCCCACAATAGGACTGTGTTGCTGCTGTACGTAGACGGCTTTCTAAAACGCTGGCTTTTATTTCCAGGATATATTTAAGGCTAATGGCTTCTTTGTTGGTGAAAGCTATAATTCCATAAGGAATGGAGATGGGATAAATATCACTTGGAGCAACACTGAATACTCTTCCAGGCTGACCTTAGAACACATTTTGAATTTTGTGCTTGGGGTGGGGCCTGGTGCATATATTGAATTCTTGGCGTATACCAGCTAGTTTGCACTCTTTTTTTCTTTAATAAACCTTTTACTTAGAAAGAATTGTAGATTTACAAAAGAATGGCAGTGATAGTACAGAGTGTCTATGTAACCCTCACCAGTTTCCCCCGATGTCACATCTTACATAACCGTGGCACGTTTACCAAAACTAGGAAATTAACTTTGGTACTTTGTGACTACAGATTTCATTAATTTTCCCACTAATGTCCTTTTTCTGTTCCAGATCCAGTCTAGAATCCCACATTGCATGTAGTCTCTGTGTTTGTGCGTGTCTGTGTGTGTAATTAAGTTTATTAAAAAGGTCATAGACTATAAGACTTTCATTTGCAAGGATATCTTAAGCATATGGTACTTTCCTGATATGTTTGACTAATGCGTTTCTAAAATGTCTTTGCAGAGATTGCCTTACAACAGGTTTCCATGTTCTTCCGATCAGAACCAAAGTGGGAGGTAGTAGAACCATTGAAAGACATAGGTGAGAAACTGGCATGCCCATCCCGTTAAAAAAGACACATCCAGGACTGGGTTCTTTGTCATGCTTCCCTGTATGTATCCCAAGAGAGCTCCTAAACGCAGGTGGTTTCTTTTTCTTTTTGCTTCCCTGTTGCTTGAGGACGCAGTCCGTAACTTTTACTACTTAGTGAATCTTGGTTCAAGCCCTATCTGAGGATTTCGATGGAAGTAACATATCTTCAGCACAGTTTAATCACTCATTCCTCATCTTTTTAAAAAAAATTTTGTCTTATTGCTTAAAGTATTACAAAGAGTATTGCATATGTCTCCTTCCCCCCCCCCTTGACATTCCCCTGGCCTCCCCTACCCCCTCATTCCTCATCTTTCTTTTCCACTAAATTTAAACTGAAGTGCTGTTTTCCTGTTTCTATGAATAGAGTAATTTCTTTGCTGTTTTTTTTAGTGCAGTCTTTACCATGTCAACATTACCAAATGGTTGTTTGATTTGTGCCTATATAACTATGGATAATGTTGCGAAGCTTAATTTTTATTAATTACTCAGTCAATGAAATGCATCAATTGGCACAAAAATTATGTAGCTATAAACACATTTCTGCTTTATGGCAGGTTGGAGGATAAGGGAGGAATATTTCTTGATGAAGATTAAAATCAGCCAAAGGAACGGCTAGTGT